TTTGGGTTTCAGGTTGAATCTTCTTTTGAGTTTTGATTTCTAATTATTTCAATTATAAAACCATTTGGTACAAGTTTCATATTTGGGAACTGCATGTGAAAGGTAAAAATTAGGGTGGACGGAGATGATGATCATAATAGGATCAGATGAAGGCGGGGAAGATCAGATTAGAAGAGGAGGATAACGGGCGTATGGGGTGGGGTGCGGTAAGGTGGGGTGAGGGGTGTTTGGAGAAGGGCCCATTAACTTTTTAAAGTATAAATAAGATTAAAAATTATCAGATTAACTGAAAAATAAATACATAAGGGCATTATGGTCATTTCAAATATAGAACGGATTAAAACTGCTACAAATTCGTCTTTAAGGGACGAAGCGTACACGTTTTAAACAAACGATGAACAGTCCGAGTTATTTTTTAAAAATAAGGATTAAACATGCTTTCTAGCATGTGCACGAGGAATAATTAGTATAATTTACACTATGTTTTAAACAAAACAAAATATATATATATATATATATATATATATATATATATATATATATATATATATATATATATATATATATATATCCAAAAATATATACTTGATTACATTTTTAATTCGCTATCCCACGAAAAAAAAAAATACATTTCATCTACAAATTCCCTAACTCAAATTCCGGATTTCTATAGAAAAAATGAAATTTTTTATACAAAATTACAGGAATATAAAATTGATGTTACCTCATTTTGTGAACAAATGATAAATAAAAGTGAAGAAAATAGAAAAGCCACGTAGGATAAGCCACGTAACAAAACGGCATGGTAAGATGTATTGCAGCACACGCGGATCCAAGCCAAACTTACGTAACCCCGCCCACAAACACACGCTCTCAGTGCGCATGCACGAGCCTTTATTATTGTCATCCCATGTAAATATAAATCCCCCACCTTTTACATGTTTATAAATTATATCATTTAAAACTATCAAAATATATAGCAATTATTGTGTTTCAACAACAGATGTAATATCTTATTACATACTACTATTTTACATTTAAATAATATTATTATTTAGTTGTAACCCATAACGTATATTTATAAGTTATGACTTTCAACGGATTCAAATTTAAAATTTTATGTTTCAATAATTAATAATTCGATAATCTGGTTATACTTCTCCACATGTATATTAATATAAGAGTTGTTTTTTTTTTTCTATATTAAGTTTTCTAATTAATATCATATCACTTGTCAACTTGTTTATTTTTCATTTTAAATTTTAAATTTTAAATTCCTAATTCTAATTCCATTAAAGTAATAGAATTACAATAAAAAATTAAATTAAATTAATTCAAATTAGAAGGTAATATATTTTCATGTATTTATTTGAATCACCGATTATGATTTTATATAATTAAAAAATATCTTTCAAATAATAATTTATTCAAAATAATTAATTAATAATTATAAATTTTTATTGTGAAATTTTAATTAATTTTGTAATCATAATTCTTACATGTTATAAACTAATTATCAATAAATCAAACAAAAGAGTTGTGAGATTATCTCATCTTTTTTTATTACAAACATTATCTCTTACCGACATATAAAAATGTAATGATTTATAATCAGTCTATTATTTTTAAAATTATAAAAAAAAGTTATTCATTACAAAAGAAAAATCATTTATTAATTTCCTTTGTCTTTGAGTTTTTCTTAAAAACAAATGTCCTTTATTAATTCGATAATCTGGTTTGCAAACCACACAATCAGATTTTGATGAATGACAAACCTAACAATAAATGTCCTAGATTTGTTTGATTGTTTCTCTTTTAAGAAAATAGGAAGTGATTCGTACACAACACATTATAAAGTTGTACAGTACAATATTTTATAGAGTTGCAAATCACATCAATTGTTTGATTGATTCCATCTCTAAATCTACAATAAAACTATTTGGAACCAAAACCTAAATAGAACCCTAAATAGATTTCTAAATCAGTCTATTAGATCCCAAAATCAACAATTTGAGTTGGTTTCATGAATTTTTCCATACATAAATTTTTTGTATTTTCTTTAACATGATTTGAATCAACTCATTGATTTTATTTATGCATGGCAACTTTCTGAATTTACAATTTAGTTTTTTTTTCATGAATTATAGATAACTATTGAGAAAAAAATTCATTTAGGATTAAAAAATATATATTTTTTTAATATCAGTATAGCAACTTGCAGATTTTAAAAAACAAACATTTTTTTTCTTGGAGACCATATATATTTGGTTCACATCTTTTGTAGAAGTCAACAGATATAATCCGAGCTTTTTATTAAAAAAAACGAACAACACCTAAAAAAACTAATATTATGATGATCGAATTTAACATAAATACTTAAATAATCCATAAAATTTTGAATAATTTAAAATAGTTGCCTAAATTAATATATACCTTCATAAATTAATTTCATGACAACATATCATTACTTATACTTGCAAAACACAATCATTTAGACAATAACATTGTATTTTTCGCGTAAAAACTTATTTCATATGAATACATAGTCAAATTGAAAAACTAACAACATACTTTTCAGATTTTTGGATATGTTCATTATATCGTGTCATTTTCATTTCTTACGACCGTAACATTCGTTTTAAAAGAATTTGAACACAGACAATTTTTATTGTTATAGTAGAATGCAAACACAAACTGTTTTCATTGTTCTGAATAAATAAAATTTCAAAACTATAATATCTTAACCAAAAAAAAATACAATTTTATAATTAAATAAATTTCAAAACACAATAATTTCTTACAGTTTTAGAACATTTTTAAATTTTTTTAGCATTTTAAAAGACATTTCCAATAATATTTTTTAAAAACACTTTGAACCTTTTAATTTAATATGGAAATACAAATACTACAATCAAAAAACAAAAAACGAATAAAATAGTATAAAATCATTTAATAACCCATGCTAAGTTGCTAACTACTTAGCCATATTGTATAAATAGCATCTCCTCCGGTGCCAAGAACACTACCTTCCTTGCATCATCAAACTTCAAACCCCCCGACTGAAGAATTAATCAGCCCATCAAATTGGAACAAAAAAGTCAATAAATTCCTTATTATCAAATCCTCCATCGCCACCTGCTATAAATCATTCTCAAATTTAAATTTACAAACAGATTATTTTGATTTTGCATCACCGTCGACGGCGGAAAGGATGGCGTGTTTGGGGATTCGTCACAGCGGAGTTGGAGATTGCATGATCCGGAAGCGTGGTGGTGATTATACAGATGAACGATCGAATCGTCTTTCCGGATTCACACATCTTTCAATCCCCAATCTCGCCGTTAAACATCCTAATCATAGAGTCTCTACGGCGGTTTACGCTACGTTAGCGTGTGATTCCGGTCATCGGTCGACTTTGTCTTTATTTGATGACGGGTTAGATTTACGAACAGAACCATTTGGTGGTGGTGATGATAATGAGGATCACGATCGTACATGTATTGAAAGCCCTAGGGTTTCGGAGAAGCTCGATGAATGGATGCGGATTTCGGTAACGGAAATCGTTAAGAACATAAAACAAGCGCCGTTGCTGGTTCAGATCTATGCCGATGGCGAGGTGGAGATGAAGAAATCGCCGGCGGCGAAGGACTGGCGGAATGTGGTTAAACACAGATCGTCGTCACTTGAGGGGGTTATACTGGTGGAGGAGCTCAATGAGAACACTGATCCGGTGGATTCCGAGTTTAAGTTCGAGGAAGAAGACGGAACCAAGGCTTTTGGAGTGCTGATTCAAGGAAAGATCAAAGGTGTAGATCAATGTAAGTCTACGTGTTACTTGTTGAAGACAAGCAGCGTTAATGGCGGAGGAATGGGGCATTTTTGTACCCATTTTTGCTTGATGAAGGTTCAGAGCTTCCATGAAAATGCTTTTTCGCAATTCAGTAATTGCTGGTTACTGAGGTGAAATTGAATTAATTTGGAAGGTTGTAAAGGGTAAATAATTCGTGCTAATATTGTTTGAGTAATTATAAATTGAGAATTGATGGAATTAATGTGTAAATGATTCATTGGAATTGTTGTTGATCCAACATCCTAAGGTTAATTTTTTCCAACTTCCAAAAATGGCAAAAAAAAAAAAAAAAAAAAAAAAAACCCCGGCAATTTTAGCACTTGATCGCTTGCTTTTGGAGTATGACTTTTAATCTTTCTAAACTCTTTTATACAAATTTTGTTTTGATATGATTTTTTTTAATTATTTTCTTTATAACAAAAGCTATTGGATGGATCACTTTGACCCGATAAAATCAAATAAATTCAATTTAATTTTGTTTTTTTAAATATTAATCCAAATGATTCAAATAGGATGATCTAACAAAATTATAATTCGGTTAAGACGGCGTTTAGGATTTCTTTATAACATTATATTTTTTAAGTGTCTGCGGAGGACTAAGGACTAAGGAGTGGATTCTTACCCTCGGTGGGACTGAAGACTTAAGAGTGATAGGGTATAGCGATACGAGCTTTCAGATCGACAGAGATAATTTCCGCTCTCAGTCAGGCTGGATATTTACCCTGAATAGAGGACTAGTGAGCCAGTGATACGGAAAAATTCCAAACAGGAGACTCTAGTTAATTCAACGTGTGAATCAGAGTACATATCAACAAGCGAAGCAGGCGATATGGTTGAAAAACTTCATCGAAGACCTTGAAGTTATTACATCCATAAAGGAGTTTGTGTAAATTTTTTGCGATAATGAAGGGGCGGTTGTAACGTCCTATTTTTGGTATGCGATTTAAATAAAGTAATTTTCATTTCTTAAGGGGTACTCGACGAGTTAGTAGCCCGACTCATCGAGTAGAGACGGGATTTGCACGTGGTTTAAGTTGGCGACTCGACGAGTCCATATTCTTGGACTCGGCGAGTCTGCCAGTCTGGATGAAACCCTAATTTCAAGGGTTTGCACCCTATTTAAACAACTCTATGCGCCCAACATAAGCCTCCATCACCCACAGAACGTCCCTTAGTAAACCCTAGCTTTCCTTTAAGCATTCTTGGAGTATTTCTCACCTTGTGAATGATTTTGGTGCATTTTGGAGTTAGAAAAAGAAGAGAGGAGAGGGGTTTTCAAGAGGAGCAAAGAAGATCCGAGTTTCTTGTGTCATTCCAGTTCCCATTGAGGTATAAAACTCGAATCTTTGCTTATTATCATGTAAATCTCCTTAAAAGCTTGCTAATGTTGTTTTTAGCCATTTCTAGACATTGATGTCGATTTAAGAGTAGTTAAGATAAATGGGCTTCAGATCTAAGCATTTCAGAACTCCTTAAGCTCAAGGTTGCCACCTTTATTGAGCTAAATTCCCATTCCAAACCTAGATCTCCTCTTTTAGCTCATTATTGGGTATTTGAGCTTGTTATGAGCATGCATGCACGTAAAGTTAGAGACTTTACGTGTGAAACTAGTCCTAGGAACCCAGATCTATGAATTGGATGCATTGGAATCGAGCAAAATCGACTGTATAGTTATGGCATGCATGGGACTCGGCGAGTTGTTCTTCAGACTCGACGAGTCGAGTTGCGAGTCCCCGATTTTTCCCCGTTTGAGAGTTTAGGGTGGAATGAGTGAGTGGGAAATGGACTCGGTGAGTTAGAGCTTAGATCTAGAAATGGAGGGACTCGGCGAGTCTACACCCTGACTCGGCGAGTCCAAGACAATCTTCTTGTATCAAGAACAGACTCGACGAGTTGTTCATACAACTCGACGAGTCGTAGACTTGACACATTCATAGGATGAAGGAAGACTCGACGAGTTGTTTATACAACTCGACGAGTCAGATGAAGATGGACTCGATGTTTGTATTGAAGAAGAACTCGTCGAGTCTTTGCTAAACTCGACGAGTTGAAGCGAGTAAAGGATTAGAAAAGGTGTTAAGGACTCGGCGAGTTGGTGGCCCAACTCGGCGAGTCTGGTCCACTGGAAATGACTTTGACCAGGGGTAAAATAGTCATTTTACCCTGAGGGCAGTTATTAGTACCTGATCTAGTGTTTTTGGGATTTGTAGCCGGGGAGTTCCAGAGCAGCAGTCAGCCAGTTTCAGATTTAGCATCTCAGCAACCAACGTTACGAGGTGAGTTTCCTTCCAGTAGGAATGGGTCTACGGCCATAATGCCGACCCATTTAGTTAGCAGTAGTTCCAAACTTTGGTCTGATGCAATAGTTAGGATGCTTGATGTCTTTGTGATTCAAGCATGCCTTTGTGTTATGTGTTCCGGACTTCGGTCCGATGCAATATGCAGTATGTAACGTCCCGATTCTCAGGTATTGCTTAAATAAGATTTATTGGATTAAGCTCTACTCAACGAGTTGGTTGACCTACTCGTCGAGTAGCAGCTGGATGAGATCGCGTTTTAAGTGACCTACTCGACGAGTCCATATTGGGACTCGACGAGTAGGAGTTGGTAGTGGAAACCCTAAATCCCGAGGTTTTCACCCCTATTTAAAGGGACCTCAGCCTCCCTTGGGTCTCTTTACAGATCTAGAGAGTCCTGAGAGTCCTTATAACGTGTGTCAGTGCCTTTGTGTGGTGTTTAAAGCCTAGAGAGAGAATCTTGGAGGAAGAAAGCTAGGAAGTGAAAAGGAATTGAAGCAAGGAAGGTGTGGGAAGCAGGATTTACCTCAGCTAGCATCCTTTGGAGGTATCAAAGTGCCATCCTTACTTCCCTTTTTCCCTTTTGTTGAGTTTCTAGGGCTTTTTATGGATTTTCAAGTTGGTATGATGAGCTATGGGCTAGATCTGGGGTTGTAACTTCAGATCTGGACCCTCCTTGGATTCGAGAAGCATAAAGTCACAGTTTTGGTTGTGATTTAGGTCCCTCTTGAGCATGATGTTCCGTTAAGAACTTAAAATAAGCATTTAGAGCCTTTATAGCCATTCATGCACGTAAAGTTTGCAACTTTACATGATAAGCATGCCCTAGAAGCTTGGATCTATGAGTTGGAGCCGTTGCATGGCTCAAAACAAGTTTGTATGGACAACTCGGCGAGTCGGATGAGTTTTCTCTTGGATATGTATGAGTGTGTATCCATCGATTTGCAAGGAGGGAACTCGACGGGTGGCCTTAAAGTTTGATCGAGAATCAAAGGAACTCGATGAGTCACTCCGATGACTTGGCGAGTTGGAATGTACTTCAGGGAACTCGGCAAGTAGCCAAGGGTACTCGGCGAGTTAAGGTCAACATGGACTGTTGACCTTGACTGAGGACTTTGACTTTGACTAGGGGTTGACTAGTGGGTTATGGAGTACCTTATAAGGTTAAGGACTTATGAGTATGATGTACTATGATAATAGGTGGTGGAGCCTGTGTCAAGTGATCCGAGAGTTGGAGTTTACCTTTCGTGTCAACATCTGAGAGGTGAGTTATCCTCACTATATCGATAGGGTCTATGGCACCAAGGTCGGCCCTTTAGTTGTTATTGTTATGGTATGCTACATGTGGTTATGATCTGTTAGATCAGAAATCAAGGTTGACAGTATGTTATGCTCTTATGATCCGTAGGGATTGGTATGTTAGTGACCTGCTAGGTCGGTACTCTAGTTATAGGAGAATTCTATGATTAATGATCAGTGTGACATTTATGTTTGATGTTTGTATATGCCTGTATATGATAGTATGCACACATGGTTATTTGCTTGTGGTTGGGTTGAGACGGTCCTGCTTTGTGCTGAAGGCTAATATACCATATGAGCGGTCCAGGGAGACTGTAGGCCCACGTGGCGGACCAGTCATGCCGAAGGCTTGGGATAGATTCAGATAGACTGTAGGCCCGGTAGGGCAGTCTAGTCAGGTCGATGGCCCAGTATGCATGTTGATTGATTGATTATTATCGATATGGTATTGTCAGTGTGGTATTGGTATTTTAGGGGTAGCTCACTAAGCCCTCGGGCTTACAGTTTTCATTTTATTGTTTCAGGTACTTCAGGAAATCATGGAAAGGCGAAGGCATGAACGTACCGCTCCTCATCCTTATGTTATGATTTTTGGGACACTCTGATGGAAAATGATTTGAAAACATTTTGTAAACAATGCTATTTGGTTTTTATTTATGATTAAAAAAGTTTAAATGTGGTGTAAATTTTATGGATGTTACAAGTTGGTATCAAAGCCTTGGTTTGAGTGAATTGGAGGAACACTCGTGTGAATCCAGTCTCAAATCAACGAGATTTTCGGAAAATAAGTTTTAAAATGGTTTTCAAAATAAAGGATGGAGGATGCAGAGGGTACGATCAGCCAGAGCCTGTAAGTAAACCCCAAAATACCATACAGTTATTTGATATTCTGATATGTTAGAACAACATGCTAGTGCTAGGCTAGGGATCTTTGGGAATCGCATGATAGATTTGCCTGATTATATGATGCCCATTAGCCTAGGGTTTCTTGTACGTGGAATTGACATCATAACTGTAGATGTTTAATGTATGCATCACGATTGTGCATAATAAAGACCTTATAGCCTGAGAATGTTGATTCGGCCTTCAAGTAGGATTGGATATTCGAAAGTCTATTGGGTCCAACGTTATGTGCAGCTAGCATGCACTAGCGCTGCAGGGGATGATGGAAGTTTCATGGATGCATGAGTCATGAGAAGTTGATATTCCTCTAGGAGTGAGGGTTGGGTGTATTCTATGTTGATGATATTGTTAGGGCATTGTGGTGATACTTGAGACAAATATGGGTAGGTGTAGAAGGTAGTATGGGCCCGTACTACTGAAAGCACACGACCCATATGCATAGCAAGGAAATCACAACCCCTAGGGTTTGGGTTTTGGTCTCCCGACATTATGTTATTTATCTGATGACTTGTATATATATTTCAGTATGGTGGTGATGAGACGTGTTACTTTGGGATCCAGATCAGGATCAGGGTCGGGAGACAGAGGGTTGGAGGTGCAGGTAGCACCTGAGCCCATGGTTCAGATAGGGACCGAGGAGTTGGATGCCAGGATCCGGGAGATCGTGCACAACGAGATTGCGGCTGCATTCCGAGAGCAACTGCCAGAGATGTTTGGGTCGATTAAGACCGCGATGGTTGAGTACTTTGAAGAGTGATATGGAGCTCTAGTAGAGACAGCTGCCGCTGCAGCCACTTCGGTTGTAACTGCGGCAAGGGTTGGAGGAGGAGTCAACAGGGTTTTCCAGTACTGGGACTTCGATAATACGAAGCCCGAGACGTTTGATGGTACACAGGATGCGATTAGGGCTATGAGGTAGGTATACTACTTGTATATTAACTAGATAATTATACCTAACACACATACTCGTATAGAATTGAAATAGATTTATACGCAGCGGTTATACTCATATAGAAATGAAATAGATTTATACGTAGCGGTTTTACTCTTATAGAATTGAAATAAGATTTATACGTAGCAACTATCATTTGTATGGAATTA